CTGCAGGGCCTCATAGTAGATGGCCGAGCCACACCCCCAGTCAGCACTTTTCTATGAGAAATGAGAGGCCAGCAGTCTGGGGAGATGTATGAAAGAGCTAACGAGCAGAATTTGCATGCCAGAGGCCTGGATTTGATCCCTGGCACTTCCTGTTCCCTTGATCACTGCTGGGAGTGAGCCCTGAGCATAGAGATGGGAGTAGCCCCTGAGCAACACAAACTGTGGTTGCCCAAACAAAAGCCAAATCATCACCCAAAGGGAGAGAGAGAAGAGGTGAGAGTGGTAGAGCACCTGCTATTTGGTTGATTAATTTTGACTTGTGGTCAAGCGATAGTACGTTGGGGAGGGCATTTATCTTGCATGTGGCCAACACAACATAGGTTTGATACCCAACATCCCATATTGTCCCCCAAGCACTTCCAGGAGTAATTCCTTGTTCAGAGCCAGAAGTGACCCCTGAACTGGTGTGACTCCCCCAAATTTCATTTTTCAACCATACTTTGCATTAATTTCCATTACTCATTAGAAATTGCAGATTTGCATATAGAAGAGATGTTAGGGTTTCCCTGACAGGAAATAGGGACTTGGGTGCCTCCATCCTCCTACCCTGAGGACAGGGAGGAAGGTGAAACCCTCCCAGTCTCTTATCACACCCCCTCCCCCCCAAGCTCTGCTGCCACCAGCTGTGCCTTCCCATTCCATGCAGGCTCCAGGGGGAACTTTTGTTCTTGCTGTGGGGCTGGGGGTGCCCGGGGGGTAAAGAAGTGCAGGCTTCTGGGGGTGTGGACTCCAGTCCTACTGTAAGTCCCCCTCCGAAGTCTACCATTCTGTGGTTCCTGAGACCCACTTGATCTGCGCATTACAGGGAATGGTCCCCAACCCCTGGATTTTTGGGAAGTGAAGGTTCTCAGGCTGGGGCAAGGTTAAGCTCTTAGAAGGGAAAGGCCAGTCTGTCTCAATCTCTGCCCAGATGTAGGCTCTGTCATGCTGTGCAGAAAAAAATTGCATTAGACAGCTAGTGAAGGAAAACAGTCTTATGGAAGGAGGATGCAAATTCTGAGAATGTGGGACTCTCCAGAAAGAAAGAACAAAAGTAAAGGAATTTAGACCCTAGAGAAGGACACAGGCAGCCTGCTTCCTGCGTGGAGAGATTATGGATCCTCAGTTGGGACGCAGGAGGTCCTAGAATCCCATAATGCTTTGGGGAACTGGTATTATTGGGTCTCCTTCCAAAAACAGCCTGAACTTTGCCCAGAGGCAACGTTGTCAAGGAAGTTTTTGAGCTCTGGGGGGTTTCTGCATTGAATTTTTTTGCATTCAGCAGAATTCGTTCAGCTCTTGCTGACCAGTGTCCTTGAGTCCAGGCTGTCCTGGGCCACCCCCAGCTGGAGTTCCAGGGCTTGTCTGAGTCTGGAGCTGGACAGGGCAGATAACCCATTTTCAGATCCCATCTTGGGTTATTTTCCCCCGAAGTGATTTGCAAAGGGGCCCATCCTCACCGCCTACTTGTCTTCAGATCTGTGAAATGTTACTGTCACTATCTGAGCACTGTGAGTGTATAGTTTAGGAGGTGCTGGCAGGGAGTTTTGCCATTGGAACATTCTTTTTCTCCTCTCCCTTTTACTCTCTCTCTTCCTCTCCTCCTCTATCTACCTCTCTTTCTCCTTCTTATCATTCTCCTTTTCCTTCTCCTCTTTCTCCTCTTTTTTTTTTTTTTTTTTTTTTTTTTTTGCTTTTGGGTCATATTTGGCAGTAGTTGGGGTTAACTGCTGTACTCAGTGGTTACTCCTGGCAGGGCTCAGCGACCATATGTGGGGCTGGGGATTGAACCTGACTCAGCCATATTAAAGGTGAGTGCCTTGTGTGCTCTCCTATTGCTCTGACCCCAGAGCAATGATGCTCTGTATCACACCTTCGTTCCAGCCAGTGCATTTTCCTCTCTTCGCCCCCCCCCCCCCCCCCCCCCCCCGTGAGAGCCTGAATGGTGGAAGGTGGAATCAGGGACTGTGGTGTTTGGCAGGTGAGGACAGAGGCTTGGTGGGGGTCCATTCCTGCTGGGATGATGCTTGCTTGGAGTGAGGAGATAATATCGACTCAGATGGGGACTCATCTGAGGTTCTGCCACCACAGTGCAGAGGTCTAGCCTTTTCCTTGTGATGGCACAACGTTGTGGCATAGATAGTAATAGACAGTAATAGTTATGCTGTGAGGGAGGTGTAGCTTCATTCTTAGCACTCCAAGAAGAAAAGTGGGGAAACAGAGAGCCCAGAGATGAAGGTTCTGTCCCTTAATCTTTTACACTCCTAATCTAAAGACTGATAATAGCATCCATCTTATAGGGGTCAATGGAAGAAGCAATCTGCTGAGTTAAGTGGGAACAGACCATCACTGAAGTGGAGACAGCTATGTTCTGCTGTAGTAGCTGCTCAGGACATCATTTGGAATATTGGGGGCCACACCCTGCATTGCTTGCACGAGTCCTGGCTCTCGGTTGAGAAGGTGGGGCTGGGAATTCAAACCCAGGTCTGAAACAAGCTCAAAGAGTGCCTAATATCCTGTACTAGCTATCTCTCCAGCCCCAAGCCACCATTTCAAATAGGCATCCATGAAGTCCCGGCTCCCATTTCAAGAGCTGCATCAATTATAAGAAACCTTGTTGAAATGTGGTTCCGACAGACTTGGCCTTGGCCTCTTGGCTTTTCATGGACATTGGGAGGAAAGCCCAATAGGGCTCCTGAACACTGCAGTCAGGCTTAAGGTCAGACATGTTTGCAGGAGAGACTGTAAACAGAGGAGTCCTGCAGATATTTCTTTAGAGACAATGGGATGGAGAAATGTGCTAAGGCATGTGGTGGGGTGAGTAGTGCCTGGGCTGGGCTGGTTTGATGGAGGAGATGAAAAGCTGGAACATCTGAGTACTTATTGCACAGGAGATCCTAGGAGAGAATTCCAAGGCAATCAGAGTTTTGATTGCCCAGCTCCAAAAGCAATGGTGCTGTTTAGCAATCTAAACATACCATCAAAAGGGATAGTAGTACTTAAGATATGACATACTCCTCTAGAAATATGCACAGCCTATATTTCACTATGGCAGAAAGGACTGAGGGTTGAGTCATTGGCATCACTCAGAAAAATAAACTGAGATGGCACCTCAGAGGTCAGAGTCTTTCTTCAGTACCTCTAGAGCTTTGCAAAAAGTCAAGTCATGCTGGTCTGGATCAAGGAGTTGTTTTAAAATCAAATGTGTTGGCTGTGTTGGCTGGAGTGAGAGTTCAATGGACAGGGTGATTGCCTTGCGCACAACTGACCTGGGTTTGATCCTCAACATCCCAATATGGTCCTGAGCCCACCAGGAGTGATTCCTGAGAGCAGAGCCAGGAGTAACCTTGAGCACCTCTGGGTGCAGCTTCCAAACAAACAAAAAAAATACAACCTCAAGTGCTTTCATTAGTACACATTGGTTCCTCTGTTCAAGATTGATAACTGAGATCTTGAATTAATTAATTAATTTTTATTTTTTCTGGTTTGGGGAACTCGGGTCGGCCATGTTGGCCGCGTGTAAGGCGAACGCCCTACTCGCTGTGCTATCGATAGCACAGCGGTAGGGCGTTCGCCTTACACGCGGCCAACATGGCTGACCCGAGTTCGATTCCTCCGCCCCTCTCGGAGAGCCTGGCAAGCTACCGAGAGTATTCAATATGCCAAACACAGTAACAACAAAGTCTCCAATGGAGACGTTACTGGGCCCGCTCGAGCAAATCGACGATCAACGGGAGGGCCTTTACCTTTACCTTTTACCTTACCTGGTTTGGGGACACACCAGGCTGTGTTCAGGGGTTACTCTTGGATCTGCACCCGGGATCTCTCCTGGCAGTGCTTGGGTGACCATATGGAAAGTGAGGAATGGAATCCGGGTCAGCGGCGTACAAGGCAATCGCCCTACCTGCTGCACTATCGCTCTGGTGTTACTTATCACCTTATTCCTCTAGTCAGGAGTGAAAGACTGCCATGCTGTAGGTAGAACAAATTAATGGACCTGGGGAGCCTGATCTAAAGAGGAGACGGATGTGTAAGGGGAACCTGGTACTGGATTCCAGACTCTCCTCTTGGGGCATCTCATCCGATTCAGTTTACTTTTCCTTCTCCAACCTCCTTCCTGCTCTGCTTCCCTGCCACCCAGGCGCTCGGGTCCCAGCACCTCTTCCTCCTCCTCTGGAAGCCTGGGGTCGACCAGGTGGCCGGTGTGTCTCCCCGCCCTTCTCCTGGGGGCCCCGAGTCCAGGACGTTCCTCCGTGTTTATTCTAGACATCCAGGGAAGGCCTGGAGAGCTCAGAGAGTGCTCGGATGCGTCACTCTTCAGGGTAAATTGCAAATCAGAGGAGTGACTCTGCAGAGGTGGAATTTGGGGCGTCGGCCAGCGCCGAGGGGCGGAGCGGGGTCCCGCTGTCAGGTCCGCCAGCAGGTGGCGTTCTGTCTGCGAAGACTGCGGGGTTCCAGTCGGAAAACTTGAACGGGATGTTGCTGCCGGTATTATAGGAGAAAGGCACAGTCTAGCCTCCCCAAACCGAGCTGTTAGCATCTGCGAAGAAGTGGGGAGAAAAGGCAACCGACGTCCCCGCGGATTGGAGGGACTCCAGGATTCAGAGAGCGCGAACCTCCCTGGGGAAGACCTCCATCGGGGTGAGTCCTGAGCAGCGCCCAGAAAAGCATGCTCCGTAGGCTTATTTTTAGGCTTTTGCCCTTGATTAACATTGACCCTGTGGGAGACGGGGAAAGGAGCTGCTTCAACAGTCGGAGGGAGCGCGGGAAAGAAGCCCGGGAAGCCGGTGGCCGGCTCGCCCGGGCTCTCTGCAGCGGGAGGAGCGCGGCTTCGCTCTCGCTAGGGGGCGCTGTCTGGCTTTCGCCCCGGCTCCCCGCTCTGGCGCCGAGCAACCCCTCCCGCCGCAGCGGCCGCTCTACCCCGCCGGCGTGAGCTCTGTGGTTCCGGGCGGAAGTGAGGAGCCGAGCGGAACGGCCTCTGGTGACATTTTCTCCGGGCGGCGCGGACGAGTGAAGGGACTTGGTGGCGGAGGCTGCGGCGGCGCCGCGCTTCGCTTTGGGCCAGGTAGGGCTCTCTGACCGCGACCCCTCTGCTCGCCGCCGCAGGAGAAGGCGGCGGCGACCGTCGCGTCCCGACCCGAGCGCCCGCGGCTGGGGGAGTCGTGCCCCGGAGGTCGTGCGTGCCCCGACGGGGCGCGCGGAGCGGGCGAGGAGGAGGCGCAGGAGCCGGCGCGGAGCGCAGGTGAGGCGGGAAGGGGCCCCGCCGCTCGAGTCCCCGCACCCGGGCTGCCGCTTCCCCGGCCGCGGGGCTTTGCGGGCCTCGGCCGAGGGCTCCGCAGAGTCCCGGCGCCGGGGCTCTGGCTCACCCGCACTCGGTCATTCCCACTAACCGCCCCCCCCCTCGACCCCCTCCCGGCCCAGCAGCCCCCCTTTCCGCCGGCGGGCTGCTGACCCTCGGCGTCCTCTCTGCCCGCCGCCCCCGGACCCCCCGCCCCCCCCCATCCTCCCTGCTTGCTCCGGGGGCTGCTCGGGGGAGGAGACTCCGCAGCCTCCGCGGGCCACCCCGGAGTTGTCTTCGGCGGAACTTTGCAAGCAGCCCCGGCCCCGCGGGCTTGGGGGAAGGCGGCGACGGTGTCCACTCGGCGAGCCGGGGTCTGGCCCGACGCCGGAGAGAGAGAGAGAGAGAGAGAGAGAGAGAGAAAGAGAGACACAGAGAGAAAGAGAGCCAGGGCGGTCGTCCTCGCCTGGAGGAGGACGGAGAGAAGCAGCCGAGGGTCAGCCCCCATAGACACCCCCCCTCCCCAAGCTGTTTCCCTCTGTTCGACTAGCTCAACTCTCTTTAGAAACTGGGCCACGTCCCGTCCCCCGCCCTCCCCCCCCCCCCCCCGCATCCTCCCCAGCTACAGATTTAATCGCCCCCGCCGACTCCTTGCTCTTCCCGGCCGCCCTTGGCCCGGTATTATTTCCCTTAAATGCACCTTGGCGCTGCACGGCGGGGCCCGCAGACCGTCGCGCCATTCATTCTCCCGCCCCGCCTGTCACCGAATGGATAGATGCTCGCCGGCCGCGGGCAGGAAGGTCGGGGCCGCCGCTCCGCTCCGCCCCGCGGGGGTTCCGCGCCCAGCGGTTTATGCTCGGGTGTGCTTTCTCGATTCTAGCCCAAGCCTTTCTTTGCCTCCTGGAGCCCAACACCAAATTCCCCGCTCTCCCTCAAAAGAAAAGAAAAAAAAAAGCCCCGCAGAGCTGGGCCCCCTTTGACTGCAGACACAGCGGGCGGGTGGCCGTGGGGCAGCGCGGGGCTCAGGCGAACAGTTTGCCTCGCTCGCTCTCTCCCCTGCTCTCTCCCCTCGGGAGAGTGGCGGGAGGGAAGCTGTTCACTTCCCCGTGTCGTTTTGCTGATCCTGCAGTCTGGAATCCTGCAGGAAGGCCGTTGCCGTTTGGTTTCACCAGCGTTTTTTTCTGGAGGCATGCTGTTGATAGCTGCTGCCTGATGCCCCGCGGGAGTCGCGCGACATGAACTTTTTTTTTTTTTCTTTTAAGGATGAAGCGCTCTATTTTAGGTCGAGTGGTTTGCCCAATCCAATGCATGCTTGAGTCTCTGCACCGCAGGTGCTCCGTAAACATCAAGTAATGAGTTAGATTTGAACTCAAGAAAGTAAGATGGACCTCTTTACGTTTTCAAGAGGCTACTTTCAAAAAATGAACGCCCCAGCATTCCATTAAGTGAGGAAAATATTTGTTCCATTTTGGGGCCACACCAGCCGTGCTAAGGAGTTACTCCAGGCTCTGCGCTCAGGGCTCACTCCTGGCAGTGCTTAAGGGGACAACATGGGGTGCTGCGGATCGAACCCAGATCCACTGCGTGCAAGGAAAGCACCCTACCTGCTGTACTGTCACTCCGACCCAAGTGAGGAAAATACCTAAAAGCTTTTACTCTAAGTTAGGGTGCTTTTCAGTACTGCAGTAATCTTAAAGCTTTTAAAACATTGTTTTCTTAATGTTAACATATTACAGATGTAAATGTAAACCTAGGAGTATACAATATGACAGGGAGGGAGGAACTTCGAGGTAATTGCATATAAAGGATTAGATAAATAAAATTTCTTAATGGAAAAATATTTCTTAAAAAATTTTTTTTTGGTTGGGGGGGCCACACACGGCAGTGCTCAGGGCTTGCTTCTGGCTCTTTGCACAATGATCAGTCACCCCTGTCAGGATAGGGGGACCGATGGGGTTCTGGGCATCGAACCCAGGTTGGTCTTGTGCAAGGCATTAATGCCTTACCTGCTGTACTATTACTCTGGCCTTTATTTTTTAAAATATTTTAAGAAAAATTGGTGGATTGGCCTTTTGCATCCAAACTTTGTCCATAGTTAGCTTTATATTAAGTTCACAGTGAAGTGATGCGTTTCTTGTTAATTCAATTTATCTTACTCTTAAATGCATTTACGTACATGTCTATATTTTGCTTCATAGCCTTCATGATTATTCCAAGACCTATGTCCTCATTACTGGAAGCTGGGGAATGGTGTGGAATCGGGGAGCTGACCCAGGTCTCCTGCTTGCTTTACATGTGTTCAACCCTCTGAGCCATTTTCAGCCCAAGATTGCCATTTTTTAAGTGGTGTTGATAAGCATATATTTTCTTCCCTGACTAGTTACTTCTCTGCGCTTGTTTAGGCACTCATCTTAGAAAAGATTCTCCACTCTTATATGCTAGAGACTCAAGTGCTGTGTTTCTAATTTTGGTAAAACATCTTAGGTCATCTTGATTTTCCTATAGGTAATCAAGGACATGAAACCAGTATCTATTCAATTGACAGGATTTGAGAAAATCCTTTCAAGTTGGAAAATGCTGTACTTGGGCAGAAGCTCTTTATTCTTAAAACACTAATTTCTTTATTACTTGTCTTTTGCCAGTAATCATCTAATTGCTGGAGGTAAAGTAGTGAATGGATTGACAAGGTCCTAGGGCCCAAAGAATTTATACATTTAGACCCAGAGGTTGAGATGAGGTTCCACATGGGCATTACGGCTAAGGACTTAACAGTGATTTTAAGTGCTTAGGCATGGCCAGTCCTATGAATTCACAAAGGAGGGAAGGGTACACTAAGGTAAAGCCAGATTAAGAAGGTATCTTATTCAGTTAGAATTGCTAATTTCCATCTTTCAGGGGAAACTTCAGGAGGAATATGAAGGATAAGCTTGGCACCCCTTTTGAAGTTACAGAAATATTTTGAGCTCAGTCCTCATGCAAACTAGGCATGTGTACTACTTATGAGACATACATCTCTGGCCCTTGAGCTTTTTCTTTGTGCTTCAGTGAGTAGAAATAGTACTGGCCTTCTTTCTTTATTTTGGGTTGATTCTTGATCATCAGAGTAATTGAATAGTTTTCTGCAGTTGTATAATTACTGTCTTAAATTTAAGTTTGACTATGGTCACAAAACTTTCCTCTGCCTTTCTAGCCCTTGTCTTTAGTTTTACCCACTTCTGCTGGTGTGGGACCCACAGCTGAACTTGAGCAGCAGTGTTGTCTACTTCTGTGCGGGCGGCATCTCTCAGCCACAGTGGTCTTGATGTTCACTCAGTTTCATGCTCGGCCTTCAGGTCTCTGATCACAGCAAAAAGCAGGGGAAACAAAAAAAAATGCAGGGGGAAGCAAAAGCTGGCTGCTTTTCTTTTGTGTTCCTGAACTGCTGGCATAGAAATGTGTGTTGTACATGTGATGCCTGTTTATCATAGCATTAATAGCAACTGGAAATAGTAAATATGATTCCAAAATTCTGTAAAATAGCCATTGTGACTCAGATTCAATAGTCAAATTCAGGATTTGTGGCTTTAATGTGGGGTTGTATAGTTGTATGTTATTTTGGTTTCTGCTTTCTTTCCTGTCTTCTAAAGGAGCTCAGTCTTTCTTTGGGATTACCTAGTGTTGCCTAGGGACTGCTCCTGACTCAGTGCTTGGGGGTCTTTCCTGAGGGCGCTTGGAGGATCATGCTGTACTGCGGCTTGGACCCTTTCCCACTGGCAAAGCAAAAGGTCCAGTCCTTTGAGCTCTTTGCCTAGCTAGGGACCTTCTCCCCCCCCCCCCCCCCCCAGAATTTTACTGAATGAGTGGTTGGTATAAATCAATTACATGACTTTAATTGTTTTGGGGCTACACCTGTTGGTACTTCGGGACTACAAGTGGCTCTGTGCTCAGGGATCACTCCTGGCGATGCTCAGGGGACCATAGGCGGTGCTTTATATCTTGAATTCAGGTTGGGTGTGTGAAAGGCAAGTGACTTATCTGGTGTATTATCTCTCTGGCCTGACTTTATTTAATTTTGAAGCCACTTAGATGAATATTTTTGTGTGATGGTTGATCAAAAGTAGACATCTCTCTGTGGAATTTATGTGAGAGTGTATCAGATAAAACAGTTTCTATCCGAAGAACTCAAGATTTAGGAAACTAGGTGATTTCTCTTTTTTCCCTGCTCTAAAATATTAAGAAAAGTAGGTTTTTTATTTGTTTTGGGGCCACACCCAGCGATGCTCAGAGGTTCTACCTGGCTCTCTCACTCAAGGAATTACTCCTGGTAGTGAGCTGGGAACCATATGGGATGCTGGGGATCATATCTGGGTCAGCTGCATGCAAGGCAAGCACCCTACCCACTGTACTATTGCTCCGACCCAGAAAAGTAGGTTTTGGAGAAAAAAAAAAACGGTATAAAGAAATAACTATAATTTGGAGTGTTCCTTTTCCTTTGTAAAATACTTTTAAGCATGGTATTGAGAAGTAAACTTTTTTTTTTTTTTGGTTTGGGGCCATACCCAGCTGGGGGTGCTCAGAGCTACTGCTGGATCCCTCCTCAGGGGTGCTCCTGGTGGTGCTCAGGATTTATGCAGTGCTGAGGGCTGAACTGATCTCCTGTGTGCAGAGCATGCCCTCAGCCAGGTGAGATCCCTCTTCAGCTCTTTAAAGGTTTTTTAGATTAAGAGAAAAGTGATTGGAGGCTTGGATTTTCTTTCTTTGAACTGCCGGTTCATTTGCAAAATCCTCTTTCCCCTGCATGGAATTAAAGACCATATAATTGTAAAGTAGTTCTGATTGATCTATTTAAATTTAGATACCAGTCCCAGAAATGTGCTTGGGTAATCTAGAAGTTTAAGTGTTCATTCACATTATTAGTAGAATGGAAACAAGATACTGACCATAAGAAGATCAGAAGAAGTTACATTTTATCCAGTTGCTGAAGA